CTCCACCTCCCTTTCCCCCAGGCTCTGTGTCACAGCAAGTTTTCCTTGAAAATTTCTGTCATATGACTTCCTTCCTCTACATTTTCACTTACTCACCCAAGCTCTGGATTGCAGACAAAATTACTCAACAGTCTCCGAATCATCCTATCATTTAGTCAGTGGACATTTTGTGTGGATAGATTATGTATGAGGCACACGCCACATGCCATGGGGATACTAAGATGGACGGGGCATGCAGACAGCTTTATACAAAGTCAGAGGATGGAAGGAACAAAAGAAGAGATAAAGAGCAATGCAAGTTCACAGGCAGTGGGAATCACTTCCAGAGAAGGGGCTCTGAGAAAAGTTTCAGGCAGCAGAAATGACATTCAAACTGGAGAGACAGGATTAGCTGGACACAGATGAGAACAAAGGCAGCCACGAGGTAAGAAACATCAGGGCTTACGTAAATCCCTATCATGCCCCTTAATACCCTGTGACTTACAGCGATTTACTCAACACTCGTGTTCCTCATCTAGGAAACAGAGGCAATAACGTCACCTTGCTCCTTGGCTTTTTGTTAGGATTAAATAGATGTGTGTTTGGGGTGCTCTGCGGTAGATTAACTATATGTTATATATTGAAAAATGCAGAAAAACTAAGAAAGAATGAGATATAAACTATAACAAAATACAATGATGTAAACTAAAAGGCTACCACACAATGGTTGCCACCAGTCAGGTGACTACAAAGGAACAACAAAAGGGAATGTTTTGGGGTAAGTTTCTGTGTCCTGATATCCTGATTATGGTGACAGTGACACAAGCCTACCACTGCATTTGTGTGTGTTTTAACTGTTAAACCTGTACACCCAAAGGAAAAAAATCATGAAATCATACTTTCATTATCATGAAAATCATACTTTCATGAACATACATAAATTAAAAAGGAAAATGTTTAATACATTACAACAGCTGGTTTTGGGAGGGAGAGAACAGGTATAGAGAGAAAAAGAAAAAATGCTAATAAACACAAGACAGGGGCCTTGCACAGACCCACAAAGACAACGCATCCTGAACTGGGGATGAGGACCATCCTGTGCCTGAGATCTCCTCCCACTGCCCCACAGAGGACAATGGCCTAGAGGAGGGTAAGTAAAGGACAGTAACTAAAGGAGTGGGGGAAGAGGTGCTGAGCGGGTAGAAATTGAGGGTAAGAAAGAGACAGACCTGAAAGATGAGGACACTATGATCTCACTTACCAGTAAGTCCCACAAACCCAGGTAGCACGCTTACATAATTTATCATTACAGCCATCCAGCCAAGTCTGCCACACTATGGTGTCACATAAATTTTGGCAAGTGACTAAATCAAGGTAACGACAGGACTTTTCGTGTTTGATAACTGGTTGCTGGGGCGTGGGAAAGGAGTGAGGGTCCCAGACCAATGGGCAATGGACAGCTGTGCTGCCCTTCCCGGGGCCCCCAGGAAAAGCAGACTTAGAGTGGGTGAAAAGCAGCACATGCAGCTTGGGTTATCGTGAGCCTGGGGTCCTTGTGGAGCCTCTAAATGAAGGTGGGCAAACAGATCCTTTTGGGACTTCCCTAAACAGACACTGATGATAAAAGCTGTGGAGACAAGCTCTGCCCTCACCCTGAGGCAGCGGTGGGTAGGGCAAGAAGTGCCCTGGGTGTAGGGTGGCTCAAGTCTATAATCCTAGCACTCTGCAGGACCGAGGTGGGTGGATCCCTTGAGTTTAGGCGTCTGAGACCAGTTTGTGCAAGAGTAAGACACTGTCTCCACTAAAAATAGAAAAACTAGCTGGGCATTGTGGCATGTGCCTGTAGTCTCAGCTATTTAGAAGGCAAAGGCAAGAGCATGGCTTGAGCCCATGAGATTGAGGTACTGTGAGCTACGATGATGCCATGGCACTTAACCCAGGGCGACAGGTGAGACTTTGTTTCAAAAAAAGAGTAGGGAGAAAAAGAGTTTAAGGAAGAATCTGAGAAAGTAGTGGCCTGAGAAACTGGCAGAAACCTTGGGGCATTGAGGGGATACTACTTCAAGATTAGTGTGGTCATAGTGTCACATGCTTCAAGGAAAAGGTTTCCACCAAACTGGGTCATGTGGATGGAGTTCACTGGTAATCTCCCCCTGAGGAGAGGAGCAGTGAGAACACAGGCAGATGCAGTGGGACTAGATGTAAAGGGGAAGGGAGAAGGTAGTCCCTCAAGTCTAGGAATGTGCTCCAAAGGTTGAGGAAAAAGCCATCAAAGACGAAAGGTTGAAATTAGAGGACTGAGGAGATAACTGATGGTTGATGGAACTGTGAGTGGGCCAGGTTGGATAAGCTCCCGGGGCAGGGGGATTGCTTGAGTATGGCCAGTCTGGGTAACATAGCACAAGCCCGTTTCTAAAAAAATTTTTTTTAAATTAATGCAAAGTTTCTTTTGTTTCTTTAAAACTTAAGAGACCCAAAGAATTCAAGCAAGCCACAGAAGCATTTGCATAAGGATATCATAGGCACAAGAAAGTAATACCAAAATTCAGCTTTAGGGGCTGGCTAAGATAATGTGGTAAGAAGACTTTTTTTTTTTTTTTGAGCGAGAGGGTTTCTCACTCTATTGCCTGGGCTAGAGTGAAGTATCATCACCATAGCTCACTATAGTCCTGAACTCCTAGGCTCATGTGATTCTCCTCTCTTAGCTTCCTGACTACCTAAGACTACAGGTACACACCACCACACCTGGATAATTTTTCTATTTTTTTCTGGAGACAGGGTCTCAATATGTCAGTTACTTAGGCAGTTCTTGAACTCATGGCCTCAAGAAATCCTCCCACTTTTGCCTCCCAAAGTGCTAAGATTATGCACCCAACCTGGAGACTTACTTTTGACTGTTTGTCATTTTGTACCTTGAGTTTTGTACTATATACATGCATTTTACATTGTTATAAAAATAATTTTTTATAAAATATAAATAGATCATCATTGACCCAGACAAGAGTAATTTCAGATACAGAATATAGTATAGCAAACAGTATATTCTATACAGTCTGATATTATGTAATCTGTATATATACTATAGTGTACACATAGTATATAGAGCATACTATACGCAGTTACAGTATAGCATAGGAAAAGAAGCCAGATTGCAACAGGTTCCTGCATGATTCAGAGAAGAGAAAATGGAGAAATTAACTGCAAATATCTCTTTTAAGAAGTCTGTCTCAAGAGGGATGAGAAATATAAGATAATAGTCACTTGACAACATGTAAGTATCATTTTGTTTGGAAGAGAGTATTGTGAAATATCCATACAAAAGAACTAGCGGAAATTAGCTTAACAATGCAGCTGGTAAAGGAGATAACTAAGGGGGCAGCCCAAGATCTGAGCAGACAGGAGACTTTATAGTTTTGGAGTATGGAGACGGATATTTCAAGACAAGAAATATGTCTTGTCCCAGATGTGGAGGCAGTGCTACAGGGGAAGATGGTCTGGGGTGGTTTGATTAGTTTAAGTGAATCAGCAAAATTCCCTGCTCTTCAGACACACTAACGGATACCGAAATGGGAAACAGACTTGATTCTGGTCAGTAAGACCTAAGCAGGCATTTGAAGGGGGCTTCAAATAAAAGAGCTGCAGGAAGCCATGTCTCTCTCCTGCTGAAGGGGAATGAGAAAGTGTGTGGTCCCAACTGCTGCTGGCAGCCATCCCCAAACCACGGGGAAGTGCCCCAGGATGAAGCCAACAGCTGCACAAACAGCAGAGAGAGAAGCTCCCAGATCCTTGATGAGATCACTGAGCCACCAGATCAACCTGCCCTGAAGACTGCCTTCACCTGGACTGCGAGGAAAAAAAGCCATGTTAAGTTGGGTCTTCTGGACCCAGAATCCTCTCACTGATAAACATCCTTAAGAGGAACAAGATAAACTAGAGTCAGGAACTGAGGCAGAAGATGCTGGATGGAATTTTCACCTTCTTCTCTGTAAAGTAAAAAGTAATCCCCATGCTAAGAGTGCAGTGGGAGCCATGCAGAGGCAGAGTTCAGGGGAAGCCGCAGCTGGCTGTCCAGGCACTGGGAAAGACAGCAGCCTGAGGCTACCCAGCGGACCTGACAGGCAGCCCTGAGCATCCAGATGAGGGTTTTGAGACACGTTTGGCTGCAAACAGCACAGGGCTGTGTTCCGGTTGGGCAACTGTGAGTTTGGGGATGGACAGCACAGGCGAGAAAGAGTTAGGCACAGTGACATGGCAGCTGTTGCAGTGATGAACCCTAAGGTCTAGCTGCACTTGAGAGGGAGTGAATGTAGGAGAGGGCTGAGGGGTAAAATAATAATAATAAAAGGGATGGAGTAGACATCTCCTTGGATCAAAGACCTGGAATTGAGAGCACCAAAGAGACAATGCAGAGACAGGTCTAGACAAACAGAGCTAAGTATCCCCAAAATAAGACAAAGGGTCCAGCACCCTTCGCGCCCCATTGCCACCCCTAATTCATGACTGTTGTTTCAGGATTAGCTGTTACTGGGTAAGTTTGAGTGAAGCTGGACAGGCACAGATAAGAACTAGGAGGGGCCTTATTCCCCCTGTATCACCCAGAGACACATGCCTATCAGCAGTGTTTCAGGTTTTGTTCTGATGCTTCTTTTCTTTTTCTTTTTTTTTTTTTTGAGACAGAGTCTTATTATGTCACCCTCGGTAGAGTGCCATCATGTCACAGCTCACAGCAACCTCAAACTCTTGGGCTTAAGCAATTCTCTTGCCTTAGCCTCCCAAGTAGCTGGGACTACAGGTGCCTGCCACAACACCTGGCTATCTTTTTTATTGCAGTTGTTTAGCAGGCCAGGGGCAGGTTCGAACCCGCCACCCTCAGTGTATGTGGCTGGCACTGTAACCACTGTGCTATTGATACAGAGCCTGTTCTGAAGTTTCTGAACAGGAAACATTCCCTTGTTGCAAATGGAAAATGAGGAACACTGCAAGAAAAGCACCCACCAAGCTGGTCTTTGTAAAGAACTCACCTCTGTATTCATCTTGGTCTCTTCCTACAGCGGCTGTGAAGACAAAAGCAGAGAGAGGTTCAGGACTCTGCTCCAACACTGTGCACTCTCCTGTGCCCCTCCCCCCATGACTTCCCGTCTCACCAATCTCATCTTCCCCACTCCCTCCCACCCTGTGCCTTCAGCAGGGGTGCCCAGGTTGGTGTCTAACCTGGGGTTGGTGGTGGCTGACTTTGCTGGCATGTCTCACCAGCAATGTTTCTCTAGAGAAAGGCATTTTCAACACCAAGCTGCAAACATGATCCCTTCATGGGAGTGATGCACTTCCCACGGCAGATGCTTAGAAAGGACAGCCTTTCACGGGGCTTTGTTCTATGGGGACAACCAAGGCAATAAGAAGGCACACCTTTCTTCCCCTTCCTAACTGAGTTTTCAGAGTACATCAATTTCTTATACTAAAAGAATGGCCTTGGCTCTGCGCCTGTAGCACAGTGGTTATGGCACCAGCCACTTACATCGAGGGTGGTGGGTTTGAACCCGGCCAGAGCCAACTAAACAGCTGCCTCAGAAAAATAGCTGGGTGTTGTGGCAGGTGCCTGTAGTCCCAGCTACTTGGGAGGCTGAGGCAGGAGAATTGCTTAAGCCCAAGAGTTTGAGGTTGCTGTGAGCTGTGATGCCACAGCACTCTACCCAGGGTGACATAGTGAGACTCTGTCTAAAAAAAAAAAAAAAAAGAAAAGAAAGAAAGAAAAAGAATAGTTCAACAGGCTGCTCTGGACCCTTACAAAAAAGGAAGGAAGGAGCAAACAGGAGCACTCAGAAGGAATGGGGGAAAATAGGAAGTGAGGGGAAGCAGGAGAGGGAAGCAAAAGAAACAAGGAGACAGTATGGTTTAACAGTGGTTCCAAACTTCAGTGTACTCCTGGCACCGCTTGTTGAAAACGCGTATTTCTGGCCAGGCATACCGGCTCATGCCTATAGTCCCAGCTTCTCAGGAGGCTGAGGCAGGAGGATCACTGGAGCCCAGGAGGTTGAGGTTATGGTGAACTATGATGATACCACTGCAGTCTAGCCTGGGCAACAATGTGAGACCCTGACTCTTAAAAACAAACCAAAAAACCAAATCCCACCCGTGCACGTTTCTGGATTCCTTCTCTAGATTCTGATTCAGGAGATCTAGAGTGGGGAGAGGCTGTAAGTCTGCATTTTCATCAGGCATCCAGGAGACTGTGTACAGATGTTCATGAGCCCCACTTGGAGAAACACTAGAATTGAGAGAACAGAGAGGCCCATAGAGAGCAATCTTTTCATTCATTTTCAGAGCTGCTTGAATTGTCACTGTATTTTAACTAGTATAACTGGGCAGCCAACACAGGGCCAAAGGATAGGAGGGGTGATGAAAGAAGCATAAAGATGCCTCTCCAGTCCCTCCACTGGGGTGGGCTGTCCAGGAAGCCCATGTAAGTGACTGTTTCTTATTCACAGACGCCTGTGATTAAGTACAGGGATGACAGCCATAAATAACAAGGAAATAATAATTCCCATGGGGTGCCAGCCCCATATACCGAGGGTGGCAGGTTCGAACCTGGCCCTGGCCAAACTGTAACAAAAAAATAGCTGGGCCTTGTGGTCCCAGCTACTCAGGAAGCTGAGGCAAGAGAATCGCCTAAGCCCAGGAGTTGGAGGTTGCTGTGAGCTGTGATGCCATGGTACTCTACTGAGGGTGATAAAATGAGACTCTGTTTCTAAAAAAAAAACCCAAAATAATAATAACCCCACAACAACCACTACCACCACCTTGATTCTGAGTAATCCCAAGACTATCTGGGGGGGACTCTGTGAGCTTTGTGTTGAAAATGATACTTTTTTCCAGCAATTCCCCTCTTTTCTCCCTTCTTATTCCTCTTTCCTGAGTTGAAAGCGGGTCTCAGAACGCAACCTGGCCAGCATACAAATGCTGCCTTTCCTTTTGAAATTAGGAGCCTTTTCTTATCTCCTGAAAAATCTGAAGAAGGAAACTTGCTAGAAGAAAAACTCTGAAAAACAGAATGTAACAAAGTGAATAGACTTTCTTCTCAAATCCTGGGGAATCAGTATAGGTGTGATGTCCTTTTTTTTTTTTTTTTTTTGAGACAGACTCTCACTCTATTGCGTAGGCTAGAGTGCTGTAGCCTCAGCCTAGCTCACTACAACTTCAAACTCCTGAGTTCAAGTGATCCTTTTGCCTCAGCCTCATGAGTAACTGTGACTACAGGTGCCCACCACAAGCCTGGCTAGTTTTTCTACTTTTAGTAGAGGCAGGGTCTCACTCTTGCTCAGGCTGGTCTCAAACTCCTGAGCTCAAGGGATCCTCCTACCTCAACCTCCCAGATTGTTAGGATTACAGACGTGAGCCACTGTGCCTCCCAGGTGTGATGTCTTTTTATGCACAAAACATCTCAGAAGGCTAAGTCACTGAGAGTTAAGGCGTAGGGGGCAGGGGAAGGCAGAACTAAGCGGAGGAGGCCTGTGGGCACTGGGCTGGGCTGGAGCATAGGCTCCCAGAGAACACGACTTGCTTACCCTGTCCTGAAGTCCTGCAGAGATGCTCCCATCTCCAAACTATGCTGTGATTTTTGTTTATATATTTTAAGAACTTTAGTTCAAGTCTCCCTTGGAGCCTATATGTGAGTGAGGAAATCTGATAACAAAATGTATAAACATGAGGAGTAAGATAACAGATGTGAGCCTGTCTATGTCAACTTACTTTACATTAACTCTGCCAACTTTGGCAATAAAAAAACTGCTATTAATTACATTTTACAGATAAAGTACTTGAAGTCCAGGGAAGGTAATAGCACTCAGCCTCATAGCCAAGTGGCACTGCCCTGTAATTTCTAGACTTTCTGGTTCTAGAGTCAAATCCCAGGGAGCCAAGAGGCCTTGACAGCTCCAGTCTCACACTCACCCAGAGAGTATCTGTGATAAATAAGAGGCCTGCAGTTTGGTTCTCTGTTAGTCCTCTGTTTGTCCTGTCCAAACAACCACAGTCAGATTCCTCATATGTAGGCTGAATGGTTGGACTTCATCTCTAAGGTCTGTTCCAGCTCTAAGATGCTCTCCAGTTCCCAGAAAAGGAAATTCAGGCAACTCTTCACAACAGGTAGAATGATACTCAACATCAGTTATGATTATACAATGTAAAGTATGGTTTCACCAAGATGCCCTATCAGATTGACAGACCAAAATGGTTGCCAGATTATGTTGGTCAACGTGTGTTGAGAAATAGAATCTCTGACATTACTGGGGAATGACAGGTGGGTATTATCTCGATGGAAGGCAGTTTAGCAATATCTACTAAAATTCTCAACATATCCGACCTCTGACCTAACAATTCCTCTGCTTCCTATTTCTGTCTCTAGCCACCAAACCACGTTCTCCAAACTCTTTGTCCAACATTACAACTGTTAGTTTTTCCTTTCTTTCTTTCTTTCTTTCCTTCCTTCCTTCTTCCCTCCCTCCCTTTTCTTTTCTTTCTTTCTTTTTTTTTTTTTTTTTTTTTTGAGACAGAGATTCACTCACTCTGTTGATCTGGGTAGAGGGCTATGCTGTCATAGCTCATAGCAACCTCAAACTCTTGGGCTCAAGCAGTCCTCTTGCCTCAGCCTCCCAAGTAGCCGGGACTACAGGCACCTACCACAACACCTGGCTATTTTTTAGAGATGGGGTCTCACACTTCCTCAGGCTGGTCTCGAACCTGTAAGCTTAGGCAATCCTCCCGCCTCGGCCTCCCAGAGTCCTAGGATTATAGGAGTGAGCCACCATATCCAGCTTTAGGCTTTCCCTTTTAATGTAAGGTAACCGGACGTCCCGCTTTTAGGGGGCACAGTCCCGATTTTTAACAATTTGTCCTGCATCCTGCGGCGTTTTATAAAAGTCCTGATTTTTGGAAAGAATGCACGGCAAGCTAGGAAACGGCGGGAGAATGGGAAGGGAATAGACAGTTTTTGGCTGCCATGTGGCTATTTTGCGAGGATATGAGTTTTATATCATTTTTGCTAATTTTATAATGTTAAACTTTAATAATAACAAATAATTGTTGAGAACTGATTATTGAGAACTGCTTATCAAAGTTCACATTGTTGATCAGTTGTTAGAATTCGACCTCCATTGTTTGGACTTAATGAACAATGGCATTTTTTGGCATTGGCAACCACGAAAACATTTTGTAACTGTCTCTCAGACAATACACATTGTACTGTGTGCTAGTGCTAGTTAAGCAAGTGATGTCAACAAATCAGCTATTCAGATAATTTAGGTAAGTAATTTATTTATTTATTTCATGAATTTAGCAGACAGTACTTGTATTATTTATATTTTATAGTGGCGGCAACAAGTCTAGCGCCGGCCTTGAAAGTGACACGACTTACAAGGTATCATTATTAAAAAAATATATTGATAAGGAAAAGGTTAAATCTTCGGCATCAGCAAAAGTCACAATAGAGAACAAATGGTTAGAAATATTTCATCATTTTGAAACAAACCATGTTCCATACAATAATGCACTAAAAATTGTGGGATACGTGCTGTCCTTACCAGGAACTAATGCTGTGACTGAACATGTTTTTTCTACAGTAAATAAAGTGTGGACATCAGAAAAATCACAATTAAGTGTTGAGACTTTGAAAGCCATTTTACGTGTGAAATATACTTTAATAAATTCTTGTGAAAAATTTCATGACTTTTAAACGACAGCAATCTACTAAAAAAATTCACTCAAATGAGAAATATGCCAAAGGATAAAATAATACTATACACAATTTTTTAATGTGTCATATTTGTAAATTGTACTTATGTTGAAATTAAAAAAAAATTACAATACTATTTTTGCATTCTATGAAAATTTTTGTTGCTCCGTGTAGACCAAATTTTTAATTAAGAACACACCCCCCGGCTCGGCACCTGTGGCTCAAGCGGCTAAGGCGCCAGCCACATACACCTAAGGTGGCGGGTTCGAATCCCCAGCCTGGGCCTGTCAAACAACAATGATGGCTGCAACCAAAAAATGGCCAGGTGTTGTGGCGGGCACCTGTAGTCCCAGCTACTTGGGAGGCTGAGGCAGGAGACTCGCTTGAGCCCAGGAGTTGGAGGTTGCTGTGAGCGTGATGCCATGGCACTCTACCCAGGGGGATAGCTTGAGGCTCCGTCTGAAAAAACAAAACAAAACAAAAAAACACACCCCCGTCAATGGTGTCCCACTTTACCAATGTTAAAATCTGCTCACCTTATTTTAATGAGAATTTACAGGAAAGCTTTCCTGTAAGAGCAGTCTACCAAATAGTACTCATGAATTTTACTGTTCTCCCAGAGAATCTGGGGAAAGCAAACCCAGGGTTTGGAGAGATACACACTCATGAGAAAAGAATCCTACCTAGAAATCCTACCACACCAGGCATCAGGGGTGCACCTCCTAGGATGAACTGCAGGGCTGCTCATAACGCACCCTCAGCTGGGGCATCCTAGCTGGTGCTCACAGAGCTGAGTAACTGGCGGGACCTGCCAGGGTCACATAAGTGGCACTAGATCTTTACCACATTCTTCCCCCTTTTGCTTTCAGCTTCCCTTAGGGCATGGTCAGGAGAGGCAGCAACCTCAGGCCAGCTGAGATCTGGCTTCACCTTTCAACACCCCACTTGCCTACCCCACATTGCCCTCTCCTTTCCTCTCTGCTGTCTGACTAAGACCCGTCAAAGTCGAAACAGAATTCAGGGAGTATTTTATTCTGTATTTTAATATTTCTTAAAATATCTAAGACCTAATCCTGTAACAAGAACATTTGAGTTTGTTTAGGTTTTTTGTTTTTAAGGGTTTAATATTTAAATGGTCAACACAAAAAGTTTTCTAACTTTTAGTATTATGTTTAGAGAGATTTTTTCTAAGAGCGTTATGATCACATTTTTATTTACCAGATATTTTACTTTTCTTTCTTTTTTATTTACCTTTTTATTTTTTAATCTACCTAAATTGTATTTTGGTATATGGCATAAGTCTCTAATTTTACTTTTCACCAAATAGTTGCACTGTGTCCATATTATTGATTGGATATTTCACCCTTTCCCTCAGTGATTCCATACTTACATACTTAAATTCTATGAATAGTTATTCTTTTTTTCCCTCTGCTGTGCCTTGGACTTCTACTCCCATGCTTTTAATGCACTGTTTAGACACATAATTGTGGCTTTAGAGTGCTTTAATAACTGGTAGTTTAGGTTCTTTCATTAATCTTATTCACTATTCTCATCTATTCTTGCTTAGATTTCTAGATTTATTTTAGAACATCTCTGTCAAGTTAAAACAAATTTCACTGGATTTGCATCAAATGTATAAATTAAATTAGGATTGCATCAAATGTACAAATTAAATTAGGGTGAATTAATAAGCCTTCCCATCCAGAAGGCTGAGCATGGTAGCTCATGCCTGTAAACCTAGCACTCTGGGAGGCTAGAGCTCCGGAGTCTACAGCCTGAGCAAGAGCGACACCCTGTCTCTATTAAAAATAGAAAAATTAGCCAGGTGTTGTGGTGGGCCCCTGAATCCCAGCTACTCAAGAGACAGAGGCAGGAGAATCATTTGAATCCAGGAGTTTGAGGTTGTTGTGAGCTAGACTGATGCCATGGCACTCTAACCTGGGCAATAGAGTGAGACTCTGTCTCAAAAAAAAAAAAGTCATCACCTTTACATAAACAACCTGCTTAAAGCAATTTAAAGTAGGCTTTTCCTCCCTCCATATCCACTGTAGCAAGTTTGCTGAACAGTCTTGGAGACTGAGCTTTTATCTACATTGACTCCAAAACACAATGCAATTAGGTGTAGAGACAAAACTTCTCTCTGGGGATAACAGCCAGCCTGTGACTCAAGCGACCAGAATTTTAGACCTGGCTTGGGCACCAGGTAGCTGTGTGACCAAGGTCAGGACATGTGGTCTCCTGCGCCTTAGTTTCAGCACCTTCAACAAGGAGAAGAGGCAGATGAACTTAGATAACCCCTACATTCTCCTTCTGTGCTGATATGCTCTAGTTCTAATTCACTTTACTTCTACTTTTTTTTCTTGTTCTCTTTTAAAATAACTTTCTTGGTGTTTGGCTTGGCTAACTGAAGTTTCCTAGTTTTTCTTCTGGTTTCTCAAGCAAACTAGGTCAAGGCGCAGGTTGCTGGAGCCAGTGAAGCAGTGGCCATCAAGGCCCCAGGCACATGAGTGCTCAGTGGGTACCGCTTTTTCCAAACAAGAGTCATTCTCTTCCCCGTCTCACCTGTCCATCTGAAAGAATCTCAATTTAACAGAAGAGAAATGAGATAACAAGAGGCAAATTATCCTTACTAAGGAATAAACCTCTGGTAATATTTAAACTTGGAAGGATAAATCCACCCATGTTTTAAAACAGCTGCTTATTAACTCAAACAATTGTGGAAAAATGTGCAACTCAATTTCAAAACTGGGTCGAGGTTAAGACATTCTGGGGTCAGGCCAGGTGTGGTGACTCATGCCTATAATCTAGCACTCTGGGAGGCACAGACACTCAGACTGCTTGAGCTCAGGAGTACAAGACCAGCCTGGGCAAAAGAGAGACCCCATCTCTAAAAATAGCTGGGCATTGTGGTGGGCGCCTGTAATCTCAGCTACTCAGGAGCCCGGGACAAGAGGAACACTTGAATCCAGGAGTTTGAGGTTACTGTGAGATATGACACCCCGGCACTCTACTAAGGGTACATTGCGAGACTCTGTCTCAAAATAAAAAAAAAAGACATTCACACACCTACACCGACCCTTTTGAAGGTCCAGGTTGTAACCTTGATCCCTTATTGTTGAAAGCCTAGCTTTTCCTGGCTAAGTGCTACAGGAAACCATGAGCTGCTGGAACAGCTGAGCATACACAAGTACAACTTGCCACGTGTGTGTGTGTGTGTGTGTGTGAATACAAATAGTGCATACAAGCTGAATATGTACAGACTGAACTTTTATTTCTAACATTTTAAAAGCTCAATAATTATGCTTTTAAAGGCATCTAGAAGGAACATGTTTTCTTTTCTCAACAAATCAATCAAGATTTTTACAAGCACGATTTCACAATGGATTATTTCAATCATTTTATTTTCTACACTTAACATATCATATTCATTCACTGTTTTGTTTTCCTATGCATTTTTTAAGGGGCTGCAAATCCTCAGATTTCAGGTGAGAAATTTTAAGGCCTTTGCAAACTCTGATTTTTGGACATGATTTCTGCAATAGAAAAAGGGAAACATGCTGGTGTGTTGGCTCATGTCTGTAATCCTAGCACTTTGGGAGGCCAAGAAGGGGAGGATTGCTTGAAGTCAGGAGTTAGAGACCAACCTGAGCAACATAATGAGACTTCATCATTGCGAAAAATTTAAAAATTAGCCAGGCATTGTGGTGCATGCCTGTAGCCCTGGGTACTTGGGATGATGAGGCAAGAGGACTGCTTGAGCCCAGGAGTTAAGAGGTTTACAGTGAACTATGATGTTACTGCATTATAGATCAGGAACAAAGATCCTGTCTCAAAAGAAAAAAAAAATAGAGAAACAGTAGTTAAGCTATAAGACAAATCATTATGATTATTAAGTATAAGAGCAAGGTACATAAAATATCTAACTATTTATCCAGCAAACACCTGTTTTAGTACAGCAAACAGCCTAAATTACTTAAAATAGGGAGGACAGAAAAAACTTCAGTGCCTAAAAAACAGAGCGACTGGATGTCACTGCATAGAATGGAGCCAGAGGGCAAAAGCAGCAGTGGTCTATATGTGTACCGTATGTGCTGTAGTTTCCAAGAACAGTTTTAATCTATTGCCTTTTATTCTCATCATACCCTTTAAGAAGTAGAGCCTCAAAACCTTCATTCTGCAGAGGTCCGGAGACATTGGCTCCCTTGCTGATGGTAGTTTTCAGTGGCCCCGTCCCTCACCCTTGGAGGCCTGGCTGACTGTGCCCCTTCACCCTTCAGCTTCCACTTGGGTTTGGCCAGTGGAGGGGGTCTGCAGGAGAGGGACAAAGAGTGAGCCCACAGTACCCATGTCCTACCTGCCTGGTCCCACAGGCTGCTGCTCTGGTAGTGGCTACACTCTGTGATGGCCACAGCAGCCATGAAGGGGGTTAGCCCTTCCTCCAGTGCTCAGCCTTTGCATCTCCTCCCATCTCCCAGGCTCTGGTCTCTTCCCTGCCTCTTCAGACTAGTGAAGCTCCCGCGCTCTTCCCTGGGTACCTTGTTGTTATTTGTTGGTTCCTCTGATCCGGCCCACTCTCCTATCAAAAGTCCCCTCCAAACTTCCTTTCATTTTTGTGTTTTTGCCTGTTAGGATCCTAACTGATACATCTGCCTATCAAAATCTCACAGCAAATTAATAGTGCAGCCAGGACTAAAGAGCTTCCTTAGCTTACATTGTGCCTCTCTTTTGACTTCAGTCTCCCCCTGACCCCCGGCCCTGACATACAAATTGGGATTTGGAACTCCTTAGAGGACATCAGCAATAACTTAGTGATTTCCATCAGCCCTGTGGTGCTCACTAACATTTCTGACTGGGGGAGTGGGGGAGTGTGCCCCTGGCATCTGGGTAGAGGCCAGGGATGTTATAAAACATTCTATAATGCACAGGACACCACTCCCATGCTCCAAACACGTAAAAGGAGTTATTTGGCCCAAAATGTCAAGGTTGAGAACCCTGGATTACTCATCATGCAGAATAAACCTTCCTCCTCTTTCCTCCAGAAAGGCCCTCTTAAGTACCAATAATCATTGCCCCAAAGCCAGAAGTATGGGGAAGGATTAGGGAAAGGGTGACTTTAGGTGAGGCCAGCTACTGGCCTAAAAGGTCCAAGGGTAAGGATAAAAGTGAGCCTTGCTCCCAGAATGGACTTTCCTTCCATGGAGGGAGTTGGGTATTTTGGGACCTATCAAAGAAATACAGATGGTGCCAAAAAAAGTATGCACATTTTAAGAAAGAAAAATCCTATATTAATATTGTACTATTCAACATATACTGATAACAAAAGAAGAATACAAGTCACATTTGAGTACCTCTTATAATTATAAAGGTCAAATGTGACTTGAGTATTATAATTTTAATGGCTATGTGGGACAACATATCACTGAGTGGTGGAAATTTTCCTTATTTTGTTTCTTTTTGCTTTTCTATGTACTTTAAATTTTTCTATAAAGGTTAGTATAATTATTCAAAACTCTTTAAGAATGGCTCGGCACCTGTAGCTCAGCAGCTAGGGCACCAGCCACATATACTGGAGCTGGCAGGTTCAAATCCAGCCTGGGCTTGCCAAACAACAATGACAACTACAACCAAAAAATAGCTGGGCATTATGGCAGGCGCCTGTAATCTCAACTACTTGGGAGGCTGAGGCAAGAGAATCACTTAAGCCCAAGAGTTTGAGGTTGCTATGAGCTGTGACCCCACAGCACTCTTCAGAGGGTGACATAGTGAGACTGTCTCAAAAAAAAAATTCTATAAGAACATTATAAATGAATGATGCAATATTCACTGACTCCACCCCTACTAGTCCAATTCTTTGTTTTAATGGAGACAGAATTTCTCTCTGTTGTGAAGCTAGAGGGCCGTGGCATCAGTCTACTTCACAGCAACCTCAAACTCCTGGGCTCAGGTGTTCCTCCTGCTTTAGCCTCCTGAGTAGCTGGAACTACAGGTGCCTGCCACAACACCTAGCTAATAGTAGAGATGGGGTCTTGCTTTTACTTAGGCTGGTTTCCAATTTCTGAAGTCACGAGATCTGCCCACCTGTGCCTCTCAGAGTGCTATGATTACAAGTGTGAGCCACCATACTGGCCCTAACTCCAATCCTTAACTCAGCGTGTTTCAACTTTTTTAATCTCACTGCATACTTGAACCTATAGTTAAACTTTCATGGCATACTTAAATTATGTTGATCAAATAAAAGAGTAAAAAAAAGAATACACTTACTGTGCTTTGAACTTCTTTCAAAAATAATTTAACTAATGACCTTTAGAAATTTTTGAGGTACACCTAAGATCTTCTCATGGCACACAGGTTGAAAGTCACTGCCTTAACTGCATAGACTTCCAATTGACAATATATCAAGGCACTCTGATAATTCAGTCCATAGAAAATATTAATTCAAGGCCATTAATATTTGGGGGATCAATATTAAATCAGAAGTAGTCAATCAACGCTTATGTACACACAGGGGAGAAAAACTAACCGGGAATCCAGTAGGTGGCAGATTCACACCTAATGGGTATATGCACACATTCTGGGTGAAGGGCACACTTACAACTTTGACCGGAAATGTACAAAATAAACTATATAACCAAAACATGTACACTCCTATAATATTCTGAAACTTAAAAAAAAGAGAGGGAATTGATGAATGAATGAAGTTGCTAAGTACATTTTACTTTAAAATGACAAGAATCATGTGACAGACCAAGGTTACCTTTCTAGAGACAAATTTGAGACTCAACTACAAAACTAATATGGACCTCTACTGTCCTATAAGAGAGCCACTAGACATATGTGGCTATTTAAATATAAATTAATTAAACAGTACAATTTTGCCATCACAGAAGATTCTATTGGATAGCACTGAGAAACTTTATTCATTTTTACCCCTGGACTTATTTCCTGTGCTTACATTTTCTCTGCTCCCAATTCCTGGTTATGTTTATTTGTTACTATTCTATCTGACTTTCTTGGGGGTAAACTACCCTAATTCCTTTATGGAAAAATTCAGGGTATCAGTACTTTTGAAATCTCTGTGTATATATAACCTTGTCTGTAGAAGCACAACCTTAGTTTTGTTTTTTGTGGTTTTTTTTGCAGTTTTTGACAGGGGCTAGGTTTGAACCTGCCACCTCTGGCACATGAGGCCAGTGCCCTACCCCTTTGAGCCACAGGCGCTGCCCCCAAAACCTTAGTTTTTAACTCTAAGGCAGAGCAGTTCATGGAGTTGCTCATTTGCTCACCACCCAAAGACTGAAAGAACATTCTCAAAAATGCAGCTCCCTTGTCACAAAATCACTATATTCTGTTGGGTTTTCTTTTTCTTTTCTTTTCTTTTTTTTTTTTTTTTGAGACAGAGCCTCAAGCTGTCCGTCTGGGTAGAGTGCTATGGCATCACAGCTCACAGCAACCTCCAACTCCTGGGCTCAAGTGAGTGTCCTGCCTCAGCCTCCCAAGTAGCTGGGACCACAGGCACCCGCCACAACACCTGGCTATTTTTTTGTTTACAGCCATCATGGTTTGGCGGGCCTGGGCTGGATTTGAACCTGCCACCTTAGGTGTATGTGGCTGGCGCCTTAGCCACTTGAGCCACAGGTGCCGAGCCGGGTTTTATTTTTCATAAATGAAAAATTATGCAGTGTTCATAAATGAAAAGTTTCCAAACTGATATTACTATTTGAAGCTTAAATGAAGGGTCAATACGACATTTCTCTGCCAAATAATGAAGTGTCTTTTCTTTTTCAAATTCCATAATACATGGCTAAATATCACCTTCTTTCTAAAATCTCTGTGGCAAAAAGAAATTTACTGATACCTATGATCATGTAATAAGAGTCCTGGATACGCCAGGGAGAACTGTGAATGAAAATGCCACCATACCTCCTGCAGGATGGAACCCCCTGCCAGATGGGATCCCCTGCTAGTCCACAGTTCTAGTGCAAAGTTGCCTCTACACAGGCCATGCAATTTGAGTATTTTGTCAGATTTTACTCTTTTATAAAAATGATTGGGAGCGATTAGCAGTGTAGACTAAAAACTAAATACAATTAGAACAAAGATGAAAATTAATATATGTGGCCCAAAGTGGAAAATTTTTTAATCTAACCAGATGCTAATTGGGTATACCAAGAATAATAATATATAAAAAAGAACACGTATGAAATACTAGGAAAAATAGTGAAAATTACTCCCAAAATTTCAAGTATAATTAGAGAGCTTTTCATATGTTTTTAGCTGCTCTCTGGCTATAGAAACTTCCTCATAACACTGTCTACCCCTTGACTTTTGCTTGTGTTTTTCTGAGATGCATAAAATAAGGAAAGAATAAGCATATTTACCAATACAATTTTTTTTGGGGGGGGGAAACGAGCAATATATCGATACCTTCATTTCAATAATTTCAATGGCTTTTTGGAAATAATACTATAGAAATTACATTAATTATGGGAAAAAGCCTTTCAGCATAGTATTGCTTGCTTTGTAGATGATGATGATAGCTAACGTTTATTGAATTATTTCCATGAGGAAAACTCTGCTGTAAGCTATTTATGTTTACTTAGTAATCTATTCTTCACAACCACCCTACCAAGTAAACCAATACTTGATTATTCCTACTTTTACAGAAGAGAAAATTGAGGCCCCAAAAGGTACGTTAACGTGTCCAAGATCACACAAAGGTATATGATGGAAAACTTTTATCATATAATGTTAAATGAAAAAATATCAGGGTCGAAAACTGAACTTAAGTATGATGACTCAAATCCTTTATCCGAACTTAACATTATTAGCCATCTTTTTGAGCACTTCACATATAGAGTGACTACAGAACATTAACTCCTATAACCAGTTTCCAGAAAGGAAAGCGCAGCAAGGAGGGGTTCAGTGACTTGGGAGCAGACCCAACCGCGGCTTTCGGACTAGCCCCGGGTTCCCACGTTGGGGATGCCCCGCTCCGCCCTGGCCGCCCGGGCACCGGCCCCCCATGCGCTGAAGCAGCCCACTCGTGTCTACGTCAAAGCGGAAACCACAGTCTTAAATACAATACAGATTTGATTTTTTAAACCTGGCTTTTGTTCGTCTGAGAAAGCCCCGCACCGGGAGAGCGCGTCGCGATTCCCCTCCTGCTGGCCCGCGCGGGGCCGACGCTGCGCTCGGGGCTCCGGTGGCCGCGGGCCGGGGCGCCGGGCGGGCGCT